CTGGCCTCACATTTAAGTATATTTGATTTCTAAAAGACTATGGAACACTTTTCTCATCCCACTGCCAGTACACATTATTTTAATAAATATTTTAGTTCAGAAGAATAGGAATAGCAAAACAGAATTAATATATTTTAATAACAAGATGACTGACCTCACAAAAGAGAATGCTATATGAAAGTAAACAGGAAATGAACAGGAGGAGGATAATAAGGCACCATAGAATTAAATGCAGATCCCTGTGACATTTGAGTTTGTATAAAAGGGGATTGATTTAGTTATTTTTTAAAAAGATTTATTTATTTATTTATTTTTTAGAGAGAGGGAGAGAGCACAAGCAGGAGGGACAGAGGGAGAGGGAGAGGGAGAGAATCTCAAGCAGGGTCTACACTAAGCACAGAGTCCGACACGGGCCTTGATCTCATGACCCTGAGATCATGACCCCGATGAGATCACCCCTGAGCCAAAACCGGGAGTCAGACATTTAATCAACTGCACCACCCAGGCGCCCTGGGCCTAATTTAGTTCTTAACATGTAGCTGATTAATTTTTCCCCTTCCATGACCCACAGCCTACCTCCCAGTCCTGCCAACCATATTTTTTAGATTTCTTATCCTTTAGGTTCTCGTAGAGTTTCCATTTTCCCATTAGTCAATCTAAAAGCATGAGAATGACAAAAATGGTGAAAAGTCTGGAAATCATATTGTATGAAGCTTGGTTAAAAGAAAAGGAGGGCATGCATTTGAAGGGCTGTCATACAGAAGAGGAATTTAAGCTGTTCTGTGTGGTTTTCATAGATGGGACTAGAATCAGTGGGAAGAAAATATGTCAAAGTAGACATTCAGTTTCTCAGAGTTGCCAAAAATGGGCTAGGCTGCTTGAAGATGCAGAAAACTCATGATTATTGGAGGTGTACTTAGCTTATTACCTATGCTGTCTTGTACTTTAGATCTCATTTTGGGGGGGTCACCTCTAGGGTTTTCACTGCACCAGCTACCTCCTTTCTTTCAAATGGCCTTCCCTCTTAGACTAGATGTTCTCAAGTCTATCCCTCTAATCTGAGGTCTTTTCTTCCTAATTTTCTTATCATCCATATATTCCATCTAAGTGGTAAGCAGGCACCAAGACCTATGGATTTGATCTCCCTGCTGTCCCTTGAGCCTGCCCTCTTCTTCCCACCCTGCTGCCATTCCATTGTAGTTCTTGTCTCCCCCTTGAGAGGTAAGTTTTTGAGGGCATGGGTTGCCTTTTATTTATTAATTTTATCCCAAGTTAGTTAGCACAATAGCTGAACATTCAGAAAATATATTTAGAATGAATACATGACCATCAACAATTTATGGTGAGGCTACTTTTGCTTTAAGTGGCAGGTTGATCAGCTCATTCAATAAATATTTTTAAACATCTACTATGTGCATTGGGGATATACGAATGAGTAAGACCACAGTGGTATTCCCCCAAAAGATCATAGCCTAGTTCAGAGGAAAATACATAAACAAAATTTGACTTTGCTCAGGCAATGTTATAAAAAGAAATGTACCTGATAAATTTAACCGATCAGAATATCCAGTTGCCACCACTCTGCAGGAGCCTGCCACCAGCTCTGGCAAGTGTTCTTTGAGAAGTCACTGGCAGTTGTGGGTTTCACAGGGCTGAAGGTAGATCCTTCCAGAGTAACAGAGGACACTAATATCAGAATGGGTGAACTAACAAGTTCAGGAGGGCAAGCCATGGGTCTGGTTCTGACTACCAGTCTCTCTTTGCTAGGAACTGTCCTCTCTTAGCCTAGGGATTCTCATGTTTTCATTTTTCTACTTGGGCTTCATCTGTTTCCATATCACATCCATGCTGGTTCACCGTCAAACTGCTCACTGCTTAGAATGAGAGTGTACATAGAGCTAGAGAGCTTTTGATTTTGCAGTCCGCAGGTGTTTAAAGCTCAGACTTTCTGCTTGGCTTCACAAACTTATTTAGCTGTTTTATGGTCACCCTGATTATTTATTCTCCTGTTTTCACTTTTATGGATCCAAGCAAATGCATGAAATTTTAGACATAAGAAGCCCCTCCAAAGTTATATATTCTGTTAACCAGTTCATTGGAAATGCTTGTAAATGTCTGTGTCCTTCCCTCCTTAGTTAAAATGTCTTCTGCAGCTTCAGTGAGAGTGGTTTTATAGACCACCTGGATTTAAGAAGGAAAAAAAAATTCTTGACTGAGTGTGGCCTGGAAGACTTTCCCTCATTACTCGCATGCATTTTCCCCTACTTATTTCTGGTCTCCAACTAATAAATGTCCCCAGGCTGCAGTCTTTCTGCAACAAAATGTGATTTGGTTACTTTATCTGTTTCATGCTCTTCCCACATAAGCAGCACTGGTTTTACAATTTTAATAAAGGAAGAAAATAAATACAGGAATGTGTGTGTATGTGTATGTATATAAATATGTTTACATATGTGGGTATACAAGAAACAGATGATTCAAGGGAGGAAGATCAAAAGAGGCAATAAGACAAATAAATACAAGAAATAAAATTTGGTATTCTGGGTTTGTGACCTCAAACTTTACTTTCCTTTTTTGGGTGGGCTCAAATTTCCTCCCATTTAGTCTCTAATTGTTCTGACATTCAAAATGCCAGACATTTGAATGAATTTTGTCTCCTGAACTCTGATTCCTGTAGTCCGACTGACCGACTCCATGTTGCAACCTATGACATACCTAAGTCACGTGATGCCATCACATCAGAGTCAAATGAGGAACAGGTGAAGTTTAAAGTGTATGAGTGGAATCATGAAAGATACCCTCAGGTTACTTTCCAAAAGAATTTGACTTTTTAAAATGGCAATATTCTGATTTTATTATCTAGCCAGTTATTCATTAACCAAAAATGTGTTATATGCCAGTGATGCAAAGCTTATTTACTTTATCAAGTTATTCCATTTTTGCCTTGTGATGATTGGGGGAGGGTGGGGTGGTAGGAGAAAACCAAAAATAACATGTTCAGTTCTTTCTAACTCATTTATGTTCCAATTAGTCTAACAGGCATTTGTTTTGGTTATTACTTTCTAACTCTTGAAATCTTCTATCCATATCCGATTTTGTGTTTGTCTTTCATCTTTTTCTTTTCAATCAGAATTAGAGAATCAAATTCTGCTATTATTTATTGATCATCCTCTGCATATCGAACTCAACATCTCTACTGGTTTCTGGAGTCACAGGAATGGAAGTGCCTTGGAAAAAAAATATCACCTTCAAACGTTTTGTTCATGGAAGTCTTAAAACCACAGCTTACTTAGACCTCTTGGGCTCAAGATTGAATAGGTCTTTTTTCCTCCGTAGTTCATTCCAGAATTGGATAATGAAGAATTGCATGTTTTAGACAATGTAATATACCCAACTCCAGACTAAGAAAAAGAAGATTTTGGCATGGATAATCTCAAACTTAAAATATGTCAACCATATAATGAAAATTAGAACATTTAAGTCAAGCACGAACTAATCATCTTTCTAAACTTATCCAACGCTCTCTGCCAACTCCTGATTATGTGGGAGTTGCTGATCTGTTTTTCAGATTCTCTAGGGTCTCCTGAGGTCATGTTCTGTCCTAGGATTCAGGTTTCTATGCTTAAATAGAGGCCCAAATTCTAGGCTGCTGCTTCTAAAGAGGGGAGGGAAGAAATCCCCACCCACCTCCCCTTTCTGAATCTTGAGAGCCTGGTGAGGGGTAGGGCCAGCTCTACTTTTGGTCAGATTAAAGGGCAACTAAACTACCTGACTTTGGGAATCTTCCCCAAAGTACCACCTTACCTTGGTCTGAAAATCTCCTTTAGTGTGTTTTATGCAGAGACTATTGTTTCCAGAAGACCATTGTTAAAACAGTTGAGGCAGGACCAGGGCTGGTCATTGTTATGTAGTATATATTGAGCAATGGATCAGAGCTTTTCTGTATTTGTCCAATGGATGGAGATTTTTTTGTGGGGGGAGGGGGGAAAGAGAAGTCCTGATTTAGTTGATCTGATCAGCTAAATTCGTTACTATGAATAGACAAAGATTGTGACCAGAGAGAGTATCACTGGAGGAAAACACTGATGAGAGGCAAATGGTAAGGGGAAATTTGCTGCACATCTGAATACAGAAGCTGAAAACCCTCTAGAAATACTGCATCAGATCTTTGGAGAGTTAGGCCCAGGAATATGTATTCCCCTCCACCCCAACCCCCCCCCACAAAATGCAGGAAATTTAGACAGAGCCATGGTTGGGAATTATTCCAACAAATGGTTGTTTCCTAAAATGGGTTTGAATGTAGTGCTTTCTGGACACATGGAGACATAATAGATGCATATGAAATGCTTAATTGATTGAATGAACCAGGGACTGTGGAGAAGCTTAATTACACTTATAGCTTTGCTACCTTGATTGCATCCAAGGCCCACTACCAGCTTCTCAGCTATAATCTGAGGATACAGAGAAGACAGGAAGAGCAATGAGGAGACAAGCAAAAGAAGATGATTCAGATAGTTTCTTGGGATGTTTTGGGTTACATCTTGTCTCCCTTGCTCCCCCAAAAAGAGGCAGATTGACATCCCATCTCCTCTAGCCAGCTTATGGCATATGCATGATTGAAAGTGATTTACGGCACCTTTCCAGACTCAGCCTCCAAGCAGGAAAGCTGACATTAAAATGGTGCATGTGACAGAAATGTGGCCTTGTGGAGCCCCAGAGGAGCTCCAAATCAGATCAGCTGTCCTTCATCAATCAAAAGTTGGCTGTAGCTCACTCCTCTATTTGGAACAAGTCTAGTCTTCCATCATTATGGCAGAATGGTGGGTTCATGAATAAGGTTTTAGCACAAAACTCAGTACGCACTTGTTATTGTAATCTCAGCCTGTAAAACGAAATGTCTCAAGGGTGAATCAGCCTCATCATCTGCAGTACCACATTTAGAATGTCTTTGTGCATTTTTTTTTTAATTCTTGGATTTCTCCCTCCTTCTTCCAATGCAGACCTGTGGCTGGTGCTCAGCGAGGGTGTCCTTATGCATTCAGCTGGAATCTCCAACTATAAATAGGAACTGCAGGCAGTCTTCAACGAAGAAGCACTGGCTGGGGAGAAAATTTGATCTCTGTGCCATTTAGGTAAGCACTGTGGTAATCACCCTGCAGCACAAATTCACTGTGACATGATATTACCTCCACTCCATGGATGAGGAAACAGATTCCATGAGGTTGAGAAATTTGCCTAAACTTATATATGTAATAATGTAGGCTGATAGTCAGGAATGGAGGGTCAGACTGGAGAGGTGGAGGGAAAGGCACAAAAAAGAGAGGATGTGAAAGTTCCAGTCATAAAGCAAGAGGAAGAGAAGATGTGGAAAGAAACGGGAAGAGGGGTCAAATGGGTGCACTGTTTTTTTGCCAAACGCTATTCACCTGGAGTTCAGTTATAAAGCATTTGAAATATGATCAGTTATCTGTGCACTCACTGCTGGTCTAGAGTCTCTTCGCTAATAGCATAGCCAAAGAAGCCCAGTAGGGGAAATTCTTGGGGCAGAGCTGGCTAACAGGTCCAGTGCCAGATCAAGCACACTGGGGATTAGATTTGACCAGTGGACATGGCATTCTCTACCGCTGGTATCAAGTAAATGTGACCCAGTCGGCTAAAGCTCTTACCTGCCCCAGCTCTCCCCTCTTATATGGTCAGCGGGCACGAGGCATGCGTGCTCCAGGAAACAAGTGGTCTGTGTCCTCAGCTAGTCATTGCTCTGTGCCTCTCACATCTCAGTGGCAGCAAGTTGTACCCTGAGTCATATCACATCACATGATGCAGTCAGGAAATATGCTATCTGACAAACGTTCCTGCAGCACTCAGCATGCTCACCTATAGATAAAATAAATGTGGCAGAAAAGTAGTTGAAATATTAATGGTATTTTTCTTCTTGGTGTTTTCTTATACTCTTTGAACATTAAAAGCAACATTAAAATAGCTGCATTTCTTATACTCTTGGACTGAGAGTCACTACCTATTAAATGATCCTTAGCCCTTGAGCAGAACTTGGTGTTACACCTGTAAAATTTTTAAAAATGAACAAGTCTAATAATTTCAGAAGCCTGATAGTTATGCAAACATTAGAGAGGATTGTAGTGTGTTTGTGGTATCTTTACAACTCCCTGGAAAGTAAATATTAAATCCATGTTTTCCATGAGGAACCTTGTTTTCGTTAACCCAGTCCTTGAAGAGATCACCAGGGATATCACTGTACATTTAATGAAAGTTTGGGAATTGCCATAGCTTGCACTTACAGAGAAATTTTTGTCATCTGGGAGCACAACAGTGACAAGAGATTAATATATGTTCTTAAGAACCAGGCACTTGAATCTACCTGCATTATGATTACCTTTCTTTTTCCCTTCCCTTCCCTTCCCTTCCCTTCCCTTCCCTTTTCTCCTCCTCCTCCTCCTCTTCCTCCTCCTTCTTCTTCTTGTAGCAGGGAAGACTCATCAATAGCTCTTCTAGGAATAGGAGTTTGTACTTTTCTTTCTTTTCTTTTTTTAATGATTGAATTGTTGATTAAAACAATGCTCTCTGTCTGTCTCCTCAAAGCTGCCATCAATCCTGGAAACTATTTACTTTGATGAGAGCCAGTTAAGGCACAAACTGAGTTAGAATTCTGGAGGTTATGAAAAGCACAGCAAAAGCTGTGTAATGCAATACACCCTAAATAAAATGGGATTGGACTTCATCCTGTTGTGGGGTTTGGAGTGGGGAAGCCACATGATTAGATTTCTGTTTTACAGGATTATCTTGGCTGCAGCATAGAGAGGAGGCAAGGCAGAGGAAGGGAGACCACTTGGTCATAGTAATCTTGACAAAAGACAGAGGTAGCCTGGGCTGGTGTAGCAAGAGAATGGAGATATGCAGGAAGCAAAATAACACAGTATTTAGTGGCAGACTCTATGTGGGAGATTAAGGGACATGCTACATCCTTATTGATGATAAACATGGATTCTCAGGGGGAAGGATGTGCAGAGAATGAAGTGGGGGAGTTTTCTAGAGCTTGGAACTGATTGTTACTCTAACTCTATATGTGATCTTTTCCTTACTAGATGAGAAAGTCCAGGAGGATAGAATCACACAGTGTAGTTTCTCTCTACCAGTTTGGTATCATGAAAGAACTCACAGAATAACTGGGGTTTAATACCAGCTCTGCAATTTAGTAACTTTGAAGTATTAGGCACAAATACTTAATGTCTAATCAGAGCCCACTTCAGGCACCAGGAAAATAGCAGTGAACAAAAATGAAAATCTCTACTTTTATTAAGCTCTGTCTGGGAAGACAAACAACAAACAACTAAACAAAAAACTAGAGAATCACAAACTGTGTTAACTGCTATGGAGGGAAATAAAAAAGGATGATGAGATGTAGATAAAGAATGAGAATTGATCAGTTGCTCAAGAGTTGGGGGGAAAACATTACAGGCAGAAGGGACAGCAAGTGCAAAGCCTGCCCATGGGAAAGGGTCTGGTAGGTCACATAACACGTGCTCCATGGAAGTAGACCTTGAAGGCTCTCTGGAGATTGAATTTTATTCAAAGAGCAAGAGAAACCATAGATAAATTTTAAGCAAGAAAGTCAACATGCTCAGATTTACATTTATACAATGTCATTCTGGCTAATGAATGGAGAATCAGAGAGGGAGAAAGTGAAGAGAGATTAGCTAAGAGACTATTAGAGTTCTCCAGAAAGGATAAAGTGATTCAAATAATAATAATGCATCTATAGCCTTACACTCTTGTAAGCATTTTTTCATAATTTATATATTTATTTTGTCTAAGTTTAAGACAAAAAACCCCACTGAAAATATATTACTCAACTTATAATTTTCCTTCATTTTATTATAAAAATCCAGAAAACTTTAAAAAGTTTTACACTATATGCCTACCACCAAGATGCTAGAATTAACCTTTTCCTATTCTTGCTTTGTTGTATATGTAACCCCCTAATCATTCCTTCATCAGGCCATCTTATTTTTTGGATGCATTTCAAAGTATAGGTATCAGCACACTTCACTCCTAAACACTACAGCATGAATATAATTAACTAGGAATCTGTATTTTTTTAATTCCTTTTTTTGGTCATAAGACATACATATTTGAAATGCATAAATTTAAATGACTATTCAATGAGTTTGCCAATTTCTTTCTTCTCTCCTTTTGGGACCCTGATGACATTTTATGAGACTTATTGATATTATCCCACAGGTCCTTAAGTCTGTAAATTTTTTTCAATCTTTTTCTGCTATTCAAGTTGGATAATCTATTGATCTCTCTTCAAATTCACTTTCTTCTGTCATCTCCAGTCTGTTAATCTCAGTTCTATAACTTCTTTTGGTTCTTTGTTATAGTTTATGTTTCTCTGCCAAATTTTCCTTTTTTTCATTATGTATATATTTTTCTTTATAATATTGTGCATAGCTATAATATCTGCTTTAAATCCTTGTCTGCTCATTGGAACATCTGGATCATTTTAGGTTTAGTTCATTTTTTCATTTAGGTTTAGATCATTTTATCATTTTAGTCTCCATTGATTGTCTTTTCTTTCTTTCCTTTCTTTTTTTTTTTTTTTGAGTGGGAAGGGACAGAGAGGGATAGGAGAACCAGGATCATGACCTGAGCTGAAACCAAGAGTGGGATGCTTAACCAACTGAGCCACCCAGGTGTCCCAGGAGAGAAAGAATCTTAAGCAGGCTCCACAATCAGTGCAGAACCCCATGTTCAGGTTCGATCTCATGACACTGAGATTATGACCTGAGCTGAAGTCAAGAGTCACAGCTTAACCAACTGAGCTGTCCACGTGCCCCAATTGTTTTTTCTTTTGAATTTGGTTCATATTTTTCTGTTTCTTTGTGTATAAAGTAATTATAGAGGGTTGTATCCTGGACATGTGGATGATATTCTGTGTAGATTCTGGATTCTGTCAAGTTCTTCAGAAGAGTGTTGATTTTTTTCAACTTAAAATAAAACAACAGCTCTGATCATAACCTAAAAACTCCAGTTTCTGTTGTTAGTCATTTATATATGTTGACTGATTACTTTTCACAACCCTATCGATTTTATAAGGTAGACCATTTTATAGAAGAGGAAATTGAGGCACAAAGAAGTTAAGTAACTTGCCAAAGATCATACAGCTAGTAAGTGGAGAATCTTCAGAGTCTGACCTTCAAACACTTCTTGAAGTGGAGTGCTAAAAGTGGGTATAGAAATAGGTGGACAAATCTGAAAACTATTAAGAACTTAGAATTTCTCTAAGACTTGGAGAGATATAAGCAGGTGGTGGGAAGGGAAGAATCTAAGAGTATTCTGGGGTTTTGGCTTGAGCAATGGGATGTGCTGATAAAATTTACTGATATAATGAAAACAAGAGAAATACCTAGATTTTGCTTGGTTGTTGTTGTTGTTGCTTTTGTGGGGGGAGTATTATTTTAGGTTTGTTGAATTTGAAATTCTACTAGATATTTGAATGGAATTGTCCAGTGGGCACTTGGGAATATGAGTCTGGAGCTTGAGGGGTGTTTGGATTAGGGCTGGAGACACAACTTTGGTAGTCATCAGAGTATGGGTATCTTTTAAAAACCATTGGATTAGATGAGGTAACTAAGGCAAAAGTATAGAGAAGAGCTGATGGCTCAGGAAAAATTCCCAAGGCACATAAGCACTAAGAATTTGGGTAGAATTTGGCAAAAGAAAATAAGAAAAAGCAGCTAGTAATTGTGAAGGAGACCAAGGAGAACATAGTGCCATGGAAGTGAAGAGAAGAGAAAGTTTTTAGGAGGTAATAATGTGTATGAAATGCTTTTGGAAGGTTTAGAAAGATGAGGACAAAAGAGTCTCTGTTGGATTTAGCAAAGTGGAAGTCAATAGAGTAATAAGGTTGGGATATGTACTGGAATGAAGAATCAATATTTGAATGAGGAAGTAGAGACAGCAAGTTCTGAACCACTGGTTAATAAGGTCTATTGTGAGTGAAGAGCAGAGGAATGAAGAGAAATTTTTTATGCAGGTGGAGATGATACAGTAGAAAGGGAGACATTTATCAACATTAGCCATTAATCAAGTAGCTGATTTAGCCAATTCGTTG